CACGCCCTATAGCGAAAATCTCTCCCCCCCCAAAAAAATAAATAAAGTATACAAACTATGGGGCCTCCAGGTGGCATGGTGGTTAAGGCACTGGACTCCCATATGGTCGACTGCAGTTTGATCCCCAGACTGGGCAGTTTCCTTTCTCACTCTTCCTCCGTGTCTCTCTCTCTCTGTCTCTCTCTGCTCAATTTGAAGAATAATAGTAATAAATAAAATAAAAATAATTATTTTTAAAAAGTATACAAACTATTGGGTTGTCAGAAATGGCGTATTTTTACATTAAAAAAAAGCTGTCATCTGTCGCTTTGTAACAGATACCATGACTTTTCTGACACCCCAATTTTTTTTATATTATAATTTTGCAAAAATATAAAATGTACACAGGAAAAAAAAATGAGCAAATTCTCAGTGTATAGCTCAGTGAAGATCACAAACTGAACACCCTCTAAAACCACCAAATCAAGAAATAGAGCACTACCAAGCCCACTCTGGGCCCATCCCAGTCACCGATCCCATCCTCCTGCTCACACGGAAATTTCTAACACCATCGATTAGTTTTTCCTTTTATTTATTTATTTATTTATTTATTTATTATTATTATTTTTTAAAAATTTATCTAAATGGATCTACCTGGCCAATCTTCTTTGGTGTCTGGCTTCTTTGGCTCAGCGTTCTGATTGTAAGATTTTGTCATGGGGGGAGGCTTCTTTGGCTCAGCGTTATGATTGTAAGATTTAGTCATGGGGGTGAGCTGGTGGCGTAGAGGTCAGGGCACTGGACTTCCCGTGCGGCTGACTGCGGTTCGAGTCCCAGACCCAGCAGCTTAAAACTCATGCCGGGCGCGTGTGCGTGCGTGCGTGCCCAAGATCCTGAGAGGAGAATGGAGGAGAAGGGATTGCCATGTGGCCATCCCTGGGGATAATTTCTCTCTTTCTGTCTCTCTGTCTCTCCAGCGAGTGTACGTACCCTATAGCAAAAATCTCTCTCTCGAAAACAAGATGTAGCCATGTTGTTATACCAGTCATTTATTCTTTCCATAATGTATGAATAAATTAGAAATCATGCATTCTAACGTGTGGAGAGCAGCCTAATGTTGATGGACATTTGGGTTGCTGACAGTTTTGGTAATGATAAATCGCACTATTATTAGAATATATCCTTGGGGCCAGCAGGTGGCTTAGTGATTAAGGCTCTGGAATTCCACATGGTCGACCATGCTTCACGTCCCGAAAGTGCTTTCTCTTTCTCTCTCTCTCCCTCTCTCCCTCTCTGTGTATCTCTTTCGCTGTCTCTCTCTGGTGAGGGCATGCATCCTATAACAAATTTAAAAAATAATAATGATAAATAAAATTAAATAAATAATTCTTGGGACCAGCAGGTGACATGGTGGTTAAGGCATGGACACTCCCACATGGTCATCCACAGTTCGAGTTCTGGACCTGGTGGATTGCTTTCTTACTTTTCTACTCTCTCTCTCTCTGGTCAAATTTTTAAAAAATGAATGAATAAATAAAATTAAACAAACAACTTAAAAAATAAGTAATTCTTTTTAAAAAAATTAATATATCCTGGGGCCAGCTGGTGGTGTGGTGGTTAAGGGCACTGGATTCCCACATGACCGACCACAGTTCAAGTCCTGGACCTGATGGGTTACCTTCTCACTTTCTCTCTCTCTCACTCACTCTGTCCCTCTCTGGTCAAATTAAAATAAGTAAATAAATAAATAAAGTTACATAAAATTTTTTTTAAAATACTATATCCCTTTTCCTAATTGGTATATATGTGGGTGTAAAATTGCTGTCATTGTGTTTATATCTAGCCTCTAGTAAAGACTGTACGTTTTCTGCAACGTTGTATGAAATTCTGCTCCCACCAGCAGTGTATGAGCATTCTAGTAGCTCCATATTCTCACCATACTTGATATTATCAGTCAGTTTAATTCAAGTCATGCTATAAGAATGAAATGTTTGCCTAGTGATGAAATCATTTTTCATTTGCATTTCTCTGATGAGTACAGAGGTTGAGCACCTCCTTAATTGTTCATTGGCTATTTTGTATATTCTCTTGTAAAGCAGTTGTTTAGTTCTCTTGTCCATTTTTGTACTGGGTTGTTTGTCTTTTCTTGGTAGATTCATAATAGTTCTTTATATGTTGTGGATGCAAGACTTTTGTTACTTATATATATTGCAGATGGTTCTCTCACTTTTCATCCGGTGTTGGTATCTGTCAATGAACAGAAGTTATTAAATTTAATGTCCAATTTTCCATCTGTTTCTTGATAATTAGGGTTTTTTATGTTCTGTGTAAAAACTTTACTGAAACAACATGATATTCTCCAAAGTTGCTTTCTAGTATCTTTTTTTTGAGAGTTTTTTGCTACAGGGCACATGCGCTTGCCAGAAAGACAAGAGAGAGACAGAGAGACAGAAAGCGAGAAATCACCCCCCAGGGGGGATGGTCACGCTGCAATCCCTTCTCCTCCATTCTCCTCTCGGGATCTTGGGCACGCACGCACACGCGCCCGGCGTGAGTTTTAAGCCACCGGGTCCGGGATGCGAACCGTGGTCGACTATGTGGGAGTCCAGCGACATAGCCATTACGCTGACTGCTGGTTCCCAAGATCTGTTTTATGACTTCAGAGTACGGTCTGTCGGTGAATCCCACGTGTACACTTGCATGCATATTCTGCTCCTATTACGTGGGGCTTCAACAAACGTCAGTGACAGTGGGCGATGGTGTCATGGAAGTCTTCCATGTGCTTACCGATTTTCTGTCTGTCTCTAGTCAGGGACACTCCTCAGAAAGGAGTGCCGATGTTTCCAAGTGTGAGCGTGCATCTGTTTTCCTTCGATTTTGTTTTTTACTTCATGCGTCTTGGAGCTATGCGGTAGGCACAGCATTTAACATCATTATGTCTTTTTGATGAATTTGATTCT